GCTACATCTCTAACAATGATCGGACACAGAGTCATGTGATCGTTGACTACTCCTACACTTTTTAGTGGTATGTTGGTTATAGGATGAGGATCTTAATCATTTCATACAATCAGTAACTGCTATACACCCTAAATTCCTCCATTGTAATCTCCAAAGCCTGACGGGTTAGAAACACCACATTTCTGAAGCGGAATTGGACTGGGTTAATTGTCAGTGACTAGGTAGCTCAATTGGTAGAGCGTCTGTCCAGCGTTCGAAGGGTCCAGGGTTCAAATCCCATTCTGGGTTTGCATTTTTCGCTCCTATTGCATTTATATAACTTACGATCATCTCGCTCTAGAGATGTTTCAAGCTAAGTATGGTTACAATCTGTGCTACCACTTAGGTAGAGTAGTATTAGGAAGCTAAGATATCTCTCATTGACATTATAGGCCTCGCCGGTCCTCTGGCCTCAGAGGATGCACAAACATCATAAAATATACGATTGTCTTGTCTCACTGACGTTTCAGTTCAAATATGGTACCAATTCATGTAGTCATTATGGACATAAATTTGTATAGAAAATCCCATTTAAAAACATATATCGGTACAGCAGTACTCACATAATTGAAGTCTTCTTCTTCGTTGTAAGCCAGTTTTACGATGCCATAGGATCCCTGCAGAATAAAAGGTCAGTCAACATAAAAAACTAACTTGTAATAAGCTAGGAAATTATATATCATGTAAGTTATTACAAACATCTTTATGACCAAGATGATCAAATAAAATCTAAAAAAAGATCATTCAGGTACATGATCCATGAAGGTTATAGGGGAAATATTGTAAACAATTAGTGTAACTTGCTAATACACAGTACAGTACAATTTGTATGTTGAATTCTAATTAAACTATTACTGAGGTATATTTCTGGTTCATCCAAACTCTTGTTTTTAATCACTAAAATGTTTGTGGCCAAGATAAGCATGTATGCCCTTGCTGATACCAAATAATTTCTATTTACACATAATATTTTCATAACTCTGGGTCATTAAAATGCTTGTTTATAATGATCATTAACTCATTCACCCCTGAAGACACATTTGAATCCTTCCAAATCAAAGGTTGGAATATTTCATTATGAAATTTCAGGGCTGAATGAGTTAACAAGTACACATGACCTTGCTGATGCAAGTTTACTGCAAGTCAACTCATTTATTTTTCTGATTGTTCTTCCAAAGACTTTATGATCATTCGTCAACGTCAAAAAAACCTGTTGACTTCACACATGAAAAATTACACATGGTCGTTAGTTACACTTACCCGGTATTATACTTCATACTTCGAAGGTTACAAATGTTAATTTCTCACACCAAAATTAGATGTTTACTAAACTCATCTGGCAGACATTTTTTCAGTGCAACTACAATAACACCTCTATTCTGAATGGGAGATTATGTATAGACCCCCTATAGCTTATTAGAAGATACAATTGTATATACAGTAGTTAAATAATTATATATCCTCACAAACCATCCAGTAACCAAATTGTAAAATAAATCAACACTCCAGGATATTGTATACATTTACAATAATGCCCTTTGTGTTAATGTGTAACCATGCAACTTTCTGAAATGAATAGTCGATATATATTAACTCCCTGTTGCATACCGTTCATAGTTCAGAAGTCTTCTGGCACGAGTGAAACTAGTGAAGTACTGAAAAATCACTAATTTTTGTGGGGTTTTTAATTTCTTTGATTTCGTTGGGAATCTTCATCCACCAATTGATAGGTCCACAAAGTAATTCCAAGTTTGATATGAAGCAACTCTCCGTTTAAGTGGGTACTCGTAATCCACAAATTCATGTACCCAACAAATGATGTTTTGTCGGAAAACCACGAAAATTTGTGCCCCATGAAAATATCTGATTTCCCAGTACTCTGCCATGATTGAATTATGATAGTTAATAAGAAATAACTAAACATTCTGTTCATTATATCTTTAGAACTTTAAAAGGAAGAAAATTACCATGTAAACAAACAGGGCCCTGTTGTTTAAAAGGTGATTAGCGCAGATTCTATTTTTGTGCATTTCTAAAACTCAGCTATTAAATAAGTTAAAACTTTCCAGACAGAATCCATCCATCTAGCCTTAATAAAAATCCTTTTTACCTCTTCCCCAAGGTGTGCCTACCCAAGCTCAAGGATGTACAATGTACCAGTGTACCCTGACTAAGAGGCTTATAAACACAAATCTATTTGACCTCCATCGGCCTCAATGCAGCTTCTTTTTACATACCTTGCCAATTTCTGTTTTCAGCTGATATTGGTTAAGTTGAACGAATCCGTCCACATCGGAAATTGACACACGTCTCGTTTCCATGGTTGGGCGCCGTTTAAGGCGTGGTGAGGCGTTGGGTGAGCTGTAGGGGGAATGTTGAAGTGTCTTGTGAGATGGCCTTTCTACATTACAATTGTCCTCAGAATGACTGTAAACAATTTTAGGTGTGTGTTTATTGGTGACAGAAGAAATCGGTGTTTCATTTTGATTTACACTTTTACCAGCAACCGTTGATGGATCTATTTCACTCGATGAATTATTATTATCTCCCTTTGATGACGACTCTGACAGGTGCGCTAACGAATGTGGAGGTGTGTCAGGCACATACAGATGCCCAGTCGCGTCTGTTAACGATGATATGCGTAGCTGACGACCTAATCTACTTCCTGTGCGTGTCACTGTGTCATCTTTTAATGCACTTTGGAGTCTCTCATCACCATCATTATTTAAGCTCCTTCCTGAATCTGATGCAGGATTGGAACTCTTTTGCGTTAGAGGAGATTTTGAATATTGTGAGGTAGCACCATTTTCTGTCAAAGTTCTATATTTTGTGGCTGACAATTCCACATTCTCCTTGTCTTGAGCAGTAAAAGTGTGACCAACACCTTTGTTATCACCAGCGACCTTGACCTCTCTCCTTGACCAGGGGTCAGTTGAGGTCACTGCCGAGTCATACCTAGATTCCTGAGAGTTATACCCTGATGTGTTTGGCTCCTGGTCCTGACCTTGTTCAAGGCGACATTTCCTGAAAGAAAACAAAATAATGAAATAAATTTACTGTAAAACATTTCTCAGTTTTCAAATAGGAAATTTTTAGATATAAAGTAGTTTTTTTTCTTTCTGAAAACAAACAAATAATAATGTAAAACATTTTCGGAAATTTCATCAATTTTACCAAAGCTAGATTTCAAACTAATGCAACAATTTCCTGTAAAATTACAAATGAATAATATAGCACAGTGATAAATCTACATGCGAGTCCCGAATCCTGTACTCATAGAATTGTAATGGGACTCGCAGATTTTTTGGAAATAATTAAATTTAACATTGTGGGACTCATTGTTTTTAGCAATACAGTTGAAAAGGACTCGTAAAAATAAATTGTAGATTGATCACTGCATGCATTTTTTTTTTAAATTTAAAACAATTGCAAGAATGCTTTTTTGTTCACAAGCTGCAATTTCATGGCTGTAGTTAAATTCAAGGTTGAAGTTATCCACAAATGAGGAAACTCATATTTCATTTTGTTTTATATTGATAAAGCTGCATTCATGCATAGACAGTAACCTTGAAAACTAAAGTAAAATACATTTAATATATTATTGTAAACTATGGAGAGGACTTAATCTAACAAGAAGCTATGTATTAAATATGACTTCCTATGAAATATTTTACAAAAGTTAGTCACATTAAGTCTCCTTATTAAAGATAAAATTGATGGTGTGAGAAATTAAAGGACAGGATTTTATAAACAATTTCGGGGAGTACACATATTGATTGGTGACAGAATATTGTCCTACCAAAAATATGTTAAGAAGGTATACAACTGCATGGAATTTCAGTCCAGAGTAACATTTTGCCCATGAATGTTTTTGTACCACATTACCCTCAAACTATCCCAGGGGTCCTAAACATCATTTGTGTGTCAATGCATATTTGTTGGCATTTTTACCTTTTATTCATACAACATCTTTTACTAATATCTTGGTTTGTTTGTTTGTTTTTTACGTCCTATTAACAGCTTTGGTGATTTAAGGATGTACCAGGTTTTGGTGGTGAAGGAAAGCTGGAGTTCCCAGAGAAAAACCACCGACCAACGGCCAGTACCTGGCAACTGCCGCGTGTAGGTCTCGAACCCGCGACCCAGTGGTGGAGGGCTAGTGGTAGCAGAATGTCAGACGCCTTTACCATGGCTAATATCTTGGCATAGAATTCTTTTGGGAAGGAGATACATATTATACTTATAAGATTTAATATCAATATGGTCATTCTGAATGCAGAGAATCATCACAGATACAGTTTAACATCATAAATATATACAGTAGTTTTCAAATTATGGAAAAATTACTATTGTACATAAGAAAATATAGAGATATACTCTCTGATTACTGCTAACACCATATAGGCATCAACAAATCCCAATCTCAGATCCAAAGGTTACAATGTGGTGTCAACTGAAACACTCAATCAAACTTATAGGTGCAGAATCACCTAATTTTCAACATTATTTTTTTCACTTCATCCTAACGAAAGAAACAGGATATTAAAGCTATTCCTCTATATCCGTTACTGGGCTCCGACTCTTTGTCCCCAGGGAGGTCAGACCCACCATTTATACAAAATTTGTTCCCTTTCAACCAAGGGTGCTACAAAAGAAGAAGGATTATGAAGAATTTGCTATGTTTCCCCTATTGGGCCCCGCCACCCCTGCCCCGAAGGGGCCAAAATCACTGCTTATACAAAATTGAGTCCCTTTTGCCCAAGGGTGCTCCAGACCAAATTGGGATGAAATCCCTTAATCCCTATAATAGAAGAAGGATTTTAAAGGTTTACCTCTATTTCCCCCAGTGGGCCCCGCCACTCTGCCCCCCACCCACCCCAGGGGTCACACCCATTGTTAATACAAAATTGAGTCCCCTTTGCCCAAGGATGCTCCAGACCAAATTTAATTAAAATCTACCTGGCCGTTCAGGGCTTGTAGTGTTTTAAAGGAAAAGTTGACGGACGGAGGACGGACACTGCGGTATGGCATAAGTTCACCATGGTCCTTTGGACCAGGTGAGCTAAATGATTCACAATCGCTCACAGACTCGGAATAGGACTTCAATACAGAAAATGATAGACAAAAAGAAATAGAATTTTGATATAATATACTAGACTATCGGCAATGTCTAGGTAGTAATTATTGAGAACATTATTATTCATACAACATTAATTATCCCATTGATTGGTCAAATTTCACAACGATTTTCTCATTTCCTAATTATACCCTATGTTAACAACCCTATCATATCCTCTCATAATTATTTCCGACATTATTTTCTCACAAAACATGGTCGATAATCCTAACATTGCTATGTGGTTCCTCCTCATCAACCTGACATGATAATCCTGATGAAATGGATGTCTGCCAGGTTGTCATCCAAATAATCGTTACTTCCACATCCCGAAATTAAGTAGTTATGGTACTATTACCATATCTATCATATAATCAAAGCCATGATAGCCATTAGGATGACATTCTAGAAACTCGTGCATATATAATTAATCTAATATTAACACAGACAAACATTCAGTCAAACTTTTTCCGTTTACATGAAAACAAGGCAAAGTATTGCATGCAAGCAATCCATATAGTCTGCCGTATCTGGATAAACAATGGTTTATCAAATGTAAAAAGTGCCAGGTAAGAAACTCTGTATGTTGTAGAGCACAAGACCTTGGCCTGTATTCATGAAACTGTTTTCATGCTCAAACTCACATCTTGTGCTCAAGCCAAATTTCTTGTTCTGGTGATTATCAATGATTTGTATGAGAATTATGGATAAAGACAATTCAACTTCAGTACAGTTTAAAATATTTAAACATTATTTTTTCACCGTGTAGCAAGATTTAAGTCAGTTGCAGCTAGGAAAGTTGGTTTGAGCACAGAATCCATGCTTGAACAGTTTCATGAATACTGATTTCAGTGCAGAACATTTTGCCATACCAAGAGGTGATCTCATAAGAAAAATTTGGCACTTGTAGGTGACAAACTATTTTGCAATTTGCTCAAACGAACTGAGGAATGGTGTGCAATCCTTTAGTCTCCTCAAATATTATTGGTCGAGGAATCATAATTATGTCAGGTCAGTGACAATGGGTCGAGGAATCATCATTACATAAGGTCAGTGACAATGGGTCAGGGAATCATGATTACGTCAAGTCAGTGACATTGGGTCGGGGAATCATGATTGCGTCAAGTCAGTGACATTGGGTCGGGGAATCATGATTATGTTAGGTCAGTGACAAGGGCTCAGGGAATCATGATTACCTCAGGTCAGTGACAATGGGTCAGGGAATCATGATTACGTCAGGTTAGTGACAATGGGTTGGGGAATGATGATTACGTCAAGTCAGTGACAATGGATGGGGAAGCATGATAACATCAAGTCAGTGACAATGGGTCGGGGAATCATGATTACGTCAGGTCAGTGACAATGGGTTGGGGAATCATGATTATGTCAGGTCAGTGACAATGGGTCGGGGAATCATAATTACGTCAAGTCAGTGACAATGGGTCAGGGAATCATGATTACGTCAAGTCAGTGACATTGGGTCGGGGAATCATAATTACGTCAAGTCAGTGACAATGGGTCAGGGAATCATGATTACGTCAGGTCATTGACAATGGGTTGGGGAATCATAATTACGTTAAGTCAGTGACAATGGGTCAGTGAATCATGATTATGTCAGGTCAGTGACAATGGGTCAGGGAATCATGATTACGTCAGGTCAGTGACAATGGGTTGGGGAATCATAATTACGTCAAGTCAGTGACAATGGGTCAGTGAATCATGATTTCTTTAAGTCAGTGACAATGGGTCAGGGAATCATGAATTCTTGAAGTCAGTGACAATGGGTCAGTGAATCATGTTTACTTTAAGTCAGTGACAATGGGTCAGTGAATCATGACTACGTCAAGTCAGTGACAATGGGCCGGGGAATCATGATTATGTCAGGACAGTGACAATGGGTTAGGGAATCATGTTTATGTCAGGTCAGTGACAATGGGGCGGGAATCATGATTATGTCAGGGCAGGGACAATGGGGTAGGGAATCATGATTATGTCAGGGCAGTGACAATGGGTCAGGGAATCATGAATTCTTGAAGTCAGTGACAATGGGTCAGTGAATCATGACTACGTCAAGTCAGTGACAATGGGTCAGGGAATCATGAATTCTTGAAGTCAGTGACAATGGGTCAGTGAATCATGATTTCTTTAAGTCAGTGACAATGGGTCAGGGAATCATGAATTCTTGAAGTCAGTGACAATGGGTCAGTGAATCATGATTTCTTTAAGTCAGTGACAATGGGTCAGGGAATCATAATTACGGCAGGTCAGTGACAATGGGTCGGGAATCATGATTATGTCAGGGCAGGGACAATGGGGTAGGGAATCATGATTATGTCAGGTCAGTGTCAATGGGTTAGGGAATCATGATTATGTCAGTTCAGTGACAATGGGTCAGGGAATCATAATTACGTCAAGTCCGTGACAATGGGTCGGGGAATCATTATTATGTCAGGTCAGTGACAATGGATCGGGGAATCATGATTATGTCAGGTCAGTGACAATGGGTCAGGGAATCATGATTATGTCAGGTCAGTGACAATGGGTCGGGAATCATGATTATGTCAGGTCATCGACAAAGTCAAATAATTGCACCTCACTTTTACTTCATATTTTCTGATAACTATCTCATTCACCCCTACATATTAAAATTGGACTTGCCCGGTCTTTGATTTGGTAAGGTCCAAATTTGACTTTTGGGGTGAACGGGTTATACTGTCATTCTAACCGACTGATGAGCTACTTGGTGCGCTGAAGTACCTGGCCAAGTCATGCTACAGTTATATCAAAAACAAAATTAAGGAAACCGTCGGCAGTAGTGGGACAAGTATCCCTATAATGTCTCGTTCCAGATCTGAGTTGAGCTGGAAAAGTTATATTTGTCATCTGATACGTACAATCATATCACATA